AAACTACCTTTACTCATTAATAGACAGTTTATGTATTACAGAAACTCACCCCGATAATTATTTCAAAACTTTGAAATTAAAACTTATGTGCTTTTGTAACCTTTTCGCAGACAGAAATATGTTTGGTGTCGGTGGTATCTTGTATATCGCTAAATCACTAGTTGTAAAGCGGACGTCACATCTAGAATTTGGACATATAGAAATGATATGGTCAGAGATAATTACCAAAAAAAATCGGTATCTAATTTGCAATATTTATAGAACCAACCAACCCCACTTTCCTCCCCCACCATCCTCTTATAATGAATGTTACCTTCTTATGGCAGCATCTGCGATATTCGGCAGTTACTACAATAAAAGAAACTTTACACATAATAATCACAGGTGATTTAAATGTCGAATCTTAAAAATGTCACAGGCGAATTATGTAAATTATGTATTATTATACTTCTGTAATGTAATTAAGGAACCTACTAGACAAACTTCTTCATCCACACTCCTTGACCCAGATATTGTAAGTGAAACAGTTGATGTAATATGTTCTGATGTTATTGAAATTTACGAACTATGAGAGAGCATGATGCTGTGTTTGCTGTTACTAGTATTCCCGTGAAGATTAAACATTATTTTAAAAGAAAGGTGTGGCTTTACAATTATTGTAATGTAAAGCCCTGAAGGCTATCATAAATAGTATCTCATGGAAAATATATTCTCAAATAAGCACTTTGGAAGCATTGCATAAAGTTTGAGTTCGATTGGCTATAGCAAACTCCAGTTATTCCACAAAATGGAATTTCCACTCTAGCAACAATAAATAGCAATAATAATATTTCAAAGAAAAAAATCCAAGATGGCCGCCTTTTGGCAATCTCGAATTGAATGGGCACAACTAGGGACCAAGGGGAACCTACGTATAAAATTTAAGAAAGATCCATCCAGTAAGTCTCAAGAAAATGACCACAAACTGTCAAAGTCAAAATCCAAGATGGCCATCTATCAGCCATTTTGCATTTCTGATCAGTCCAATTAGATAGACACAACTTGGGACCCAAAGGAACCAATATATGAAAGATCTAGAGAGTCGTTCTTAAGTAATAGCAACAATAAACTTTCAAAATTAAAATACAAGATCAAACTGGCACAACTAGGGACCAAGGGGAACCTACATATCAGATTTAAGAAAGATCCATTCAGTAAGTCTCAAAAAATAGCGATAACAAATTTGCAAAGTCAAAATTCTGTCTGCCATTTTGTTTTTTCATGTAATTTCAGAAATAGTAATAGCAATAACAAACTTTCAAAATTAAAATACAAGATGACTGCCAATCAGCCATTTTATTTTTCTGATCAGTCCCAAAATTACATGGGCACAACTAGGGACCAAGGAGAACTTACATATGTAGTTTGAGAAAGTTCCATCTTGTCCTTCCCAATAACAAAAATTGTTTACAGCGGACAGCAGGACGGACAACGGACACAAACCGATTTGGATAGCCCATCTGCTGATGTTGGGCTGAAAACAAATATTCTGCTTATATTGTACTGACCCTTTAATTCAAATTCAATAAATCTGAAATGACTACATTCTCTCACAAATTGATCACCTAACAACCAATAACCCATCACAAGAGCAGATAACTCTACTATGAAAAGACGGTATATATATCATAAAACTGAACAGGCAGAGAGGAGAGAAAACACTAAAATTCTGTATACATCAATTTATTGCGATGATAATGACAATGAACGACAACATTAAACAATAAACAATCTGAGACCTGAAATTTACAACACCGAGATTAAATAATCATTGAAATGCAATTGTAAGCAGTATGTTTCACAAGGCAAAAACAACTTTCATTGTCTTCAATGTAAAGTTCAACATTTTGTCCAAAAAAGTAATAGATTTCTTATTTATATCATACAAGTTTTATCTCGGTCTAAAATCCCCAAGGAGTCAAGCTAATCTTTCAAAATCTTTGAAGAATCAATTCAGTACACTGTAACTTTCTCCCTTGGATTATTAAAACCAGTGGCCAAGTTCAATATGTCACATTTAAAGAATGACCAGCTAAACTGGATCTGCTTGGCTCTTCTCTATGTAATATACATAGTGTTAAGTTATACATTTCTGGTGCATCTTTTATCAACTCTCTTTCACTTACATGCAGCTAAAATAGATATGACATACAAATTTTATGTATTATATTGATGTATGAATATAATTATTTTTCAAAAGAGCTTTGAATAATTGAATATTAACCAAAATAGAAATAGAAATGATAGAGATATGTCTGTTACAAAAAAATTAAGAATATAACTTTTATTTGGATTTCAGTAACAATTGTTTCTTGGAAAAATGATAATAATAAAAAAAAATATTCGTGAGAAAACAAACTAAAATAAAGAAAACGAAACAAGAAAGATATGTTATACATTAAGACATGTATGTACACATATGCTGTAAATATTACATAAAAATAAATAATTTTCTTGTAATGAGGTCAGAAATGATATGATTAGTTTGATATAAAGATTGATTGTGTATCTCCTCATCTCCACGTTTCTTTATCAGCAATCCACTACAGAGAATGACAGGCATATATATCTGTTTGCCTGATAATACCTCTTGAGGAGTAGGACATTCAAATTTGATAAACAAGACTCTCAACATCACAATGAATACTAAAAACACTGTAAATTTAGTTGATACTGTAAAAGAACTGTGCCCTCGACAGAGTTATGTATGTTGAATACAAGGGGGATAACTCTGAATATCCCATTCCTTGATTCAACTTGAACTTTACTCATTGTAGGTGAAAGAAAGATTCATCTGTATCCTAACAAGGTGAAGAACTGATAAACATCACTAATCCAGACCTGTAAAGGTAGGGTGAGAATACAAAGGCAGCAGAAATGAATTCTATGGTAGACTAACACTAGTGTCAATCAACTACAAAATCCAGTATCTTGTATCCCTGACAACAGGTAATACTTTCCATGACGTCAAATAACCATGATATTGAGTCTACAGAATAGACCCAGGTGCCACAATAAAACACAAGCAGCATGATTTGAAATCAATAAATGAAGTCAATATGTTGTGGTTTTCTTCCAAAATGACAAACTTTTCCTATTTCACTTTGATTGCAGTTCCTTCTTACTTTTAGTAGTAATTACGGCAGCATTGTTTTATAACTTATGTCCATACGATAATTCTCCTGCGTGATGTCACAAAACTGATTTTTAAAAATGTATTGACATCAGTATCCCATATATCATTCTTTTGAAGCAAAATAAAATCAATGTGGTTTATTGGGAGTTCATTTTAGGATAAGATATTTTCAGGATAAGAATTTGGAAATTTGAAATAGTAAACCAGCTGATGTATTGTATCAATGGCAAGACTGAAAGCAAAATCTATGTATATGTGTGATATGCTCATGAAAACAAAAACACATTAAAATAAATATTATGTATACAACATCCACAAATTTTAGATTTACTGTACAGAAGGAATGCAAGACATGACTGACTACTATGTACCTATAGTTTTGAGGTAAGAACTATGAAGAATCTTGAGATATTCTTTAAAAACTAACACAAGCAACAAAAATCTATGTAAATAATTTGTGTACCTTTTCCATGACAACTGAAAATTGTTTAATTAATGAAAAAACTATGAAGATTTCTTGTCAAAATAGAGAAAGAATGACATGTTTTCCCTTCTATTCTACATTTGTGATATTAATGTACTGAAGAATATTACTAATAACCTTTTAAAGACAGAAAATAAAGTTCTAAAAAATCAAAAATAAAGTATTCAGTCAATATATAAACAGTTTAGCTTGTTACTATGGAAATAAAACTATGGTTACATGTAGATTATGATTTATATGTGTATAGATTTTTATTTATTCCAAGAAATATATTTTTAGATTAGCATATAAACTGTAAATCATATATATGATATGAACGAGTACATGATGAATATCTGCCATTCTGTTCAAATTTTGAAGTTAACCAGATAAAACAGTTAACAGAAATCAGTTCTATAATTCAAGTTTTTGAAATTTTGAAATTGACTAAGGTCTGAAATCAATTTTCTTTTTGAAGTTTAAAATTTTCAGTTTACACAATAATAAACCTCTGATTAGCTTTGAAGAAATTAAATATTACAAATTTATGACATAAAACACAAACATCGAGTTAGCTTCGTCTGAGTCGTTATTGTCAAAAATTTTGGTGAATTGTTGCAACACAGTAGGCTTATCCAGATACAAAATACATAATATAAGAGAGAACACTGCACTAAGATGTATCAAAACCTGTATCAACTATAAAATCAGGTATTTTTCATGTAGCTCAAATTTCATGGTTCTAAGAAATTACGCTTTGTTTTTTTCACACTTTATTTTCGAGGTTATATCTTATTCACTACATCTTAGTGTGTTTAAACTCATGTCCATGGCTATCTTTTCATCAATTTGTCGACATATATATTTGTCAATTAAAAGTAACCTCAAAGTCAACAAAAATCGAACCTGATGAAAATCAGTGATTCGATAGTGTGATCTTCCAACTGTTGACACAATGGAATAAATATTATTTGATTGTTCCTGAACAGGCTTAGGAAGATTTCTCAAAAGCCAAGAAGAATGTCAATGAAATTGAAAAGTAATCACATCTTATAATCAGAGGTCCGAGTAAAAAAAAAATCTTAAGATAAAAATAACAAGTATATACAATAAAATCTCCACTAAATACATAATGTTTAGGAATAATAATGACAGTGCTTTTCAAAAACTGTGGTTTTCTTTAAAAAAAGCAAAAACTGTGGTTTTCTTTAAAAAAAGCAAAAACTGTGGTTTTCTTCAAAAAAAAAAAAAAAAAAAAAAAAAGAAAAATGACATAATTGTGAAATATTAAACGCTAAATGAAATTTCACTCAGATATTTTGTAAAAGCTAAGTTATAAAAAGCTTAATACATGTTATCTCAGATTTGTTTTAAACTTTTAGCATCAAAAATTATCTCAGAAATACAAAACGTATACCTGAAATGACATACATTGTGTTTTGGTCACATATTTTAAGGGAATTCTTACTATCTTTTTTCAATCTTATCAAAATATAACATGTCATGGTCTGTTTTATCAATACCAGTATGAGAATATCACAAAAGTTTTCATTATCAGGTCAATATATAAAAATCAATGGTCCTCCACTTTGCCTCACAAACAAAGCTGCATTTTGCCACAGATTCTTCCATACTTTACAACTTCTCAGCAAACATCCCAATATCAACAACAATTTGAACATAAGCATATTGCTTCAATGATCTCAAAAACTTTAGTATTGAGGTTTCAGATAAATAAGAACAAAGATTTGGTTTCTAGCTGAACACTAATATTTATATTGTATATAAGTCTACCTATATTGTAAAAAAATTTAATTTAGAGCACTTTATCAAATCAAATAAGTAAATGATAAAATAACGCATCTCAGATGTTGCCATATGAATAGCATTGAGAAACAACAATTAGTGTTATCATATCTTAGCACAATACTTTCAGCAAGAACACTGCTGAAATAACATTTACACTAACATACATATGTTTACACACATATGTTTATAGTAATTAAACAAAAAAAATATGGTTTTGATTTCTTTGTTCCATGTATATTTTACTTAAAACATGATGTGACGTATAATAAGACTTATTATGATGCAGATGTACATAATAATTCGCCATCACAAATGTTTTATTAAATATTTCCAAAAATTGATTATAAAGAGTGCCATTTAAAAACGTCCAGAGCCTAATGCCCATTGTCCTGTAGAGAAAGGTGTCTACCTATGGGTTTCATAAGTTTTCATTCCGAAATCTTTCATTTAGTTATTATAACCAAGAGAAACTTAAAAGCACTTGGACTGTTTTCTAATCTACGGACAAAATGTAGGACATTAGTCATACTTTGCTGGCTCCATGTCCTGCAGAGGTAAGACTAAAAAGGCACAGTAAATTGCAGCACTTTGAAATATCTTCAGAGATTAGCTTTCTATTTTTTGCGAGCCTGTGCAGTTTGCAATTTGTAGTAAATTCCTTGTTTGGACATGAGATCCCCATGACGACCCTCCTCTGCTACCTCACCATGCTTAATGACACAGATTTTGTCAGAGTTTTGGATAGTGGACAGACGATGAGCGATTACAATACAAGTCCGCCCCTCCCTGGCCTTGTCTAAGGCTTCCTGTACAACCTGAAAAGCAAGAGAGACAAATTGAAACAAAATCATAATGGACATATCTAAAATAGGAAATACATAACAGAAAAATATTGCAGATTTTGGACCTGCTATATTTTGGACAAGATATATATGTAGAAACAAGAACCCAGTATTGTACAAATAAGTGATTAAAGGGCTTCAAGCAGGATCTACTTCATGCCAAGCTGGTAAACAACATAGAACATTAGTCCTCAATGAATGATTTCAAACCTGTAATTACATTTTAGTGAGTCAGATGTCTCAGGTATAAAGGTATGTAATTGTTAAATTGTCAAGTGAAATCAATATGTAACATTTCTCACTTCAATGATGTACCAGAAATTGTGCTAACGACAAAGAAAACCCTAGTTTATTTACACACCTTTTCACTCTCTGTGTCCAAGGCTGATGTCGCCTCATCCAACAACAGAATCTTTGGGTTTCTGACCAGGGCCCGAGCAATAGCCACTCGTTGTTTCTGTCCACCACTGAGTTGTGTGCCTTTATCACCAACGCTTGTCTCGTACCCCTGTCAGGTGATTAGAGAATACATAAGTACAAAATATATCTTTAATTCTTACATGCCTCAATCAGTCTTATAGGGTGATGAACGTTCAATTTTTTTCTGAAAATTGTCATTTATGTTTTGTAAAAGATCAAGGTGAGAAATCTTTCTTACATCTGGTAATGAGGATATAAACTCATGGACATTCGCTTTTCGAGCAGCAGCAATGATCTCGTCCATCGGGATTTCTCTTGTGTTGTCGCCATATGCAATGTTTTCTGCAATACTGCAGTCAAAGAGGATTGGCTCTTGGGACACAATGCCGATCTGTTCTCGTAGCCATTGTACATTCAGGTCTGGTATTGGATATCTGTCAAATAGCTGCAAAAATGAAAAAAAAAAAAATGAACATAAAGGAAAAAATGATATATGAAAGCTATATTTTGGAACCTCTACTACTGACACATAATCCATCATGAAAGTTTGATGTCAACATAACAGCATTCTCATTTCGAGCATCATGTTTTTTTTTTTTTGTGTATTCCTTACCCTCAGTTTCATAAAACCATAGTATCCCCCTACCCTCAGTATCATAAATTCACAAAAACAGCTGTATATTGCACATCCATTAACCCATGAATCATTCAGTTGCTGTATTCTCCTTCCACACCTACATGTGCAGTACTGGCACCAACTTACCACTACACCTTCATCAGGATCATAGAACCTCTCTATAAGCTGTACTGTCGTGCTCTTGCCACATCCACTGGCCCCCACCAGAGCGAGGGTTTCTCCAGGAGCAACATCTAGATTAAGTCCCTGTAGTACTTTGATATCAGGGCGTGTAGGATATCTAAATTTTGTGTTCCTAAATGATACAGCACTGCTGAACTTGTCCTGGAAACATTACAGTACACATTCTTGATAACAATGTTAGTAATGATATGTGATCAAATTTTGCACAGAAAAATGAAATGAAAATTATTGGAGTCCCAAAATAAGCCCAATCATCTAAAACAATTGTTGATAAACACTATTTCATTGTTTTGTGATAAATTCATTGAGAGCTTGTGAAGTTGAGAATAGATATCAATATACCGTTGAACATTATCCAGTTACTGATGAGCACCTTTCCGTACATTTTTTTCAGAATGACCCTCACAGTTGATCACTTATTAAACACATATAACCAAGTATTTTCCTGATACAATTTAGTAAAATATACTTCATTCACTTCCTTATATTTTTTTGTTTATTTTTTTTTTTTTTCGTCTCAATTGTCAGAAGAAAATGTGTGTTCAACTCCATCTGACTTCATGACTTTATGATTGAGAAGGCACACAACTCACTGGTTTTTGCCCTTCTTCAGATTCCCAGTCGATTTTTGGTTCCTGATCAAGGAGCTTGAAAATTGCTGCTGCAGATACCCCAGCTTTTGATGCATCTGGTGCAAAAGCACTTGCTTGTCCCACAGCCATAGCTCCGAATACAATGGCCGAGAATACCCTATGTATTACAAATAGAAAATGAAAGTAACAAGTGTCTCACATCCATAGTTCCAAACAAAACGGCCAAGAATACCCTGTGTATAAAATATATAGAAAATGAAAGTAACAAATGTCTCACATCCATAGTTCCAAACATAATGGCAGATAATACACTATCTATTACATAGAATATAGTAAGTCATTGGCTGTTGATATAGTACTGTCTCTTGGACAAAGAGATGATTTTGTAAAAGTGACATGGTTCTCATAAAAATGTCTAAAACATGAAAGTAAAGATGAAACCTTAATCAATCATAGGTTTGGCAAATTTCTGACTTATCACTGAACTCTTGGTGCGATATAAATTATATTTTTTCACAGATAGGCACCCAAAGTGAAATAACAAAACAGCCAAAGTAAAAACCGGGGCACAACTTGAAAACATATGGTGAATACATAATTTCATGGAATTCAAATGAAAACCTATTTGTGCAAAAGACTTTCTACATGAAACAGCTTAAAGGACAGGCAACCAGATTGTCCTATGACCCCATCCCATACATAAATCATTGTGACAAAGGTTATACTGAGACTTAACTACGACTAACTATCCTAATGATAAATCATTGTGACAGAAGTTATACCGAGACTTAACTACAACTAACTATCCTAATCATAAATCATTGTGACAGAAGTTATACCGAGACTTAACTACGACTAACTATCCTAATCATAAATCATTGTGACAGAAGTTATACCGAGACTTAACTACGACTAACTATCCTAATCATAAATCATTGTGACAAAACTTTGTCAGAATCAATTTAATCTTGTGTTATACTTACTTGAACACATCGACAAAGTTCATTTCATTATTCTTGATAAGGTATGCCCCGAAGTAAAAAGAAGCTGCATAGGCAAAGAATAATACAGCTTGGGACAGAGAGAAGGCAAATCCCACTAGATGGGCCTTCCTTAAAGCAGCTTTGTAGGGGATCTCCAAATCAGCAACATATAACTTCAAAAACTTCGGCTCCTTTGACAAACTCGCTACTGTCCGAATGTTTTCAATTGCCTCTGTAGCAATTTTCCCTGCATCTTCCAGAGCCTCCTTGTTTTGCCCAGCAACACCAGTCAACATCTTCATTTCCAGCATTCCAGCTAAGGCAATGATTGGAAGGAAAGCAAAGATCACCAGCGTAAGCTTCCATCCATAGATGAAGGCAATGATAATGGCAGTTCCCATATTAGCTAAGGACTGGAAAAATGTACCAATACGTGCTCCAGCAGCCTGTAATAAATATATCAATATTACTTTTCTTTTCATATAGCATCAAGTTCATCAGAGATAATTAAACATATTCTCCTACAAGACAATAATCTCTAGAAGTCCACTCCCATATCCACAATGAGTGACTAAATCTTCCTTCTCAGGATCTTAGCTGAAGTCACTTTAATATTTTGGTCTTAGTGGGATAAAGCATGAAGTATAAGCAAAATATTTTCGATTATTTTTGTTTATCAACTGTTCATTCAAATATGAACATATTTTTAACCTCTCCAAATATGCCAATAAATATCTAGCTATCTCCATAGCAAAATGAAAAAAAGAAAAAATTAACAGATCACAGAAAGTACAGAAAGAGTTTCTTTGATATCTACAGACAGACCAAATTGACAGACAGGTGCTTAAGGTATACTTCATTAGTTGACTGTTTATTCCATCAGTGGTGAATGTGTTCTATACAAGTAAACTTAAAACTTTTTCCAATTAAAGCATTTTGGTGAGTTTATTTTAGTAATAAGTATGGTCTTTCTGATTCCTAGCTTTTCTCACCCCCTGGATCTGTGATGCGTCTGTAGCTAGTCGTGTTGTCAGAGCTCCTGTGCTGTTCTTTTGGTCGTCAAACCAGGAAATGTCCTACAAGACATAATTCATACACCAGTCAATCTCTCAAAAATAGCAACATCCTAAATATATCAGTAATTGTCCCGTTACCAGTTCATATCTTCAACTTGTCACAATTCTGAATGTGCAGTAATTTATCTCAAAAACTGTCAATATCCTAAACATGGCTACATCCAGAATATGCCAATGATTATCCTATAATAGTTCATATTTCAAATAAGCAAAGTAATATCCTACACTTGCTACATAACATCTTGGACAGTGGTTAGCAAGTGAATATCCATCATAACCATATTCCAGCTATCTGGTTGATACTCACAGCTGAGTTTCTTAATATGCAGGAAGTGTTGTATTAATACTAAGCTTACACAATATAGAATATTTCTTACCTGTCTCAACATGGCCCTAAATACCATCTGTCTGATCCTTAATGTCAAGCATTCTCCTGATTTCCCAAATAAGTAAGCCTGATGGAAATATATATATAGAGATATAGAAGATAAAGACAATAATAGCAGAATAATGTTACACATATTTAACACAAGAGGCCCAGATGGCCTGTATCACTCAAAACAATATGACAAATTACTCCATTTGGGTTCTGTCCCTTAGTAGTCAGCCCCCTCATCTGTGCAATGTTGAATTGAGACTTTCTTATGATGTTTCCTGTTAAATATTATTGATAGCTTTCTTTTAAATCAAGGGGAGAAGATGGTCAAACAATATTGCAGAAAAACTCTTTGTTATAGCTGGACGGATGACCCAGGACAGCAGAAGCTTACTTATCATTAGTCTGTTCTCCAATATTACTGGGCATCATTGAGAACCTATTTTAGAATAATATCACTATCCTAGATGTTTTGGATAAACAGAAAATTTCATTTAAAGGTTTAACACATTTGACCCCTGTGACCTTGACTATGGGTCAAGGTAATTTCTTTTTGCAATCTTTCTTGGACTTAATAAAAGGAACATACTTTCAAAATATAATGATTCTAGGCTTTTCGATATTTCAGAAGAAATTGTTTAAATGTTTTAACACATTTGACCACTGTGACCTTGAACAATAAGAGGAACATAGTAGCCTAATATAATGATTCTTGGTTCCAGTATTTTGGAAGAAGTCGTTTAAAGGTTCTAACACATTTGTTGTCTGTGACTTGAAATATGGGACAAGGTCTTTTCTTTTCACAAACTTTGTTGGGCTTCATCAAAGAAACCTTTCTGCCAAATACAATGATTCTAGTCCTTCCGGTATTTTGAAAGAAGTCATTTAAAGGTTTTAACACATTTGACCTCTGTGACCTTGAATATGGGTCAAGGTTTTTTTTAATTTTTTTTTTGCAAACTTTGTTTTTTTCCAGCCAAATATAGTGATTCTAATTTTGACATTTAAAGGTTTTAACACATTTGACCTCTGTGACCTTGAATATGGGTCAAGGTTTTTTTTTAATTTTTTTTTTTGCAAACTTTGTTGAGCTTCATCAAAGGAACCTTCCAGCCAAATATAGTGATTCTAGGCTTTCCGGTATTTTGAAAGAAGTCGTTTAAATGTTATAACACATTTGACCTCTGTGACCTTGAATATGTGTCAAGTTTTTTTTTTTTTTTTTTGCAAACTTTGTTGGGCTTCATCAAAGGAACCTTCCAGCCACATGTAATGATTCTAGGCCTTCAAGTATTTCTGAAGAAGTTGTGTAAAAGGTTTAAACACATTTGACCTCTGTGACATTAAATATGGGTCAAGGTCATTTCTTTTTGCAAACTTTGTTGGGCTTAACCAACTTATGCCTTTTCGGTATTTCAGAAGAAGTTGTTTAAATGAAAAGTTGATGATGCAGGACGGACGACTGACGCTGCGCTATGGCATAAGCTCACTTGGCCATTTGGGCTAGGTGAGCTTATATTTGTGGGAGGAGGAACATAATTATTGTTATTGATGAGGACAACGATAAAAACAATAACAACAAAAACAACAACAAGTTTACCTGTCCTAACATAGCAAAGAAACTTCCAGCACCAATGCCAACCAATATCAGAGAGTACATAGCCACATTTTTTTTCTGGGTCTCCTCATCTTCAGCAAACACCTAACAGAGAAAACGGAAAATTTGAATTACATTTATATTAGAAAAAGTCCAAAACAGACATGATGACCTTAGCTTTTGCTAGATTTCATTTCTCTGAAACATAAGGTAATCTCATCAAAATCTTAACCCTTCTAATAGTCTCGAACGGCTTACATAATCTGGTGGTTTGGTTATTATAGAACAAGAGGCCAAAGGAGCCTGCATCACTTATCTAGCTAATTTAGCTATTCAGCCATTCAATAAAGAATTTCAAATATGACAAACGAATTTCTGATATAATTTCCCTCTCGACCTTGTGGTCAAACAGAGGTCAGATTCTCTATTTATAAAACTTGCTTCAGAACAAATGTGGACAGTATCCTTGTATGGAAGAAGGACTTTTAAGAACTTACATTACCCAATTGGACCCAACTCTTACATGTCCCAAATTTGGCCCAGCCCTCCCTCCCTAGGGGCCTGATGCACTGTTTATACAGAACTTAGTCTCCTTCACCCAAGAATACTTCAGACCAAATTTGGGCAATATCAGTTTAGTCTTTTATGAGGAGTAGGATTTAAAAGTACTTGCAAACTTTCTCCTTGCAGACCCCATCCCGTAGGCTTCTGGGGACTGAGAAGCAGTCTTTACAAAAAATTTGTTTCCCTTCAACCAACAATGTTTCAGACCAAATTTGGTCAAAATCCAATCATTCCTACAGGAAGAGTAGGATTGTAAAGAATCTACCCTATTACCCCTATTGGGCCCTGCCCCTTAGGCCCCAGGAGGTCGAGACCTACCATTTACACAAAGTCTATACTCCTCCACCCAAAAATGCTTCAAACTAAATTTGGGCAAATCCATCATTCCTACAGGAGTGAGATTTTAAAGAAATTGTTCAATTTTCCCTTTTGGTCCCCACCCCTCCCCATCCTGCCTCAGAGGCCGAAGCCCAGCATTTATACAAAAATTGTTCTGCTTCCCTCAAGGATGCTTCTGACAAAATTTCAGTAAAATATCTGAAGTTGACAGACAGATTGTCAGACAACGCAGTCTGCCAATAAGCTCACTTGACCCTTTGAGCTGAAAATGAGGTATCTCTTTTTGAAATAAGTTTTGTATAAATTGAATAAACATTGACTCTGAACAGGATGGAAAGAATATGATAAAGTATAACAACAACAAACCCCCCCCCCCCACCCTACCACCCCAAAAAAAACTTACACCAATGACTTCAGCAAAGATGACAGCAAAGGCTGGCTGTACACCACCGTTCAACAATGAACAGAAAGACCCAAGCAAGATGTAAGGCCACTCCGGAGCATTGAGGCGAATGACACGAGAAAATGGAGCCGATTCTTCCTTTTCTTTCTTTTTCTTTTTTTCCTGCAATGACACTTACATAGATAAAAATAAGCCACTTGTTGTTGATCATGGCATGTGCTTTGATCAGCTTATGAACTTAAATAGACTTTAAAAGTTTATCTTGATATCACTGTTGTCGTCAGTTCCTGTCATGTACACACTGACCTAATTTCATACCATCATTGGATTTCTTGTTTTATAGTATCTCTGAACCTGACTGAGGTTAAATCAAGTGGAAGTGACATTAGGTAAATAGATTCACTTATCATTTGGAGCATCAGTGTTGCATGACAATTAGTAGATTATTTGACTAAAAAAAAAATCCTAGGTCAAAGTGCTTTCTACAGAATGTGCATAAAAAATGCAGGGATGATAATGTGAAAATTGAACTTCTCAAATTTCAGCTATCATCTTAAAATCATTCCTTAAATTCTGAAAACTAGAGAGAGATTGTAAATAGTTGCTAAACTCCCAATTTGATAGAAATGGAGCTAAGCCTTTCAACTTGTACATTTGGGTCTCAAAAAGTTTTTGTGAGAAATTTAAAACAGATGAGGAAAAAATGCAGCTAAGTTTGAATTGACGAATGAAAACCTATCTAACAGTCAAATCTAATGAGAGTTTCATTAACAGAAAAAAATTACTATCAGCCATGCAAATGTTTACAATGTACACTACTGGCTGAAATGTATCAAATGGATGGACAACTATCAAAGTCTACCCTTGATGCCTTTGTGCTGTAGAAAACTGGTACCAGGTAGGTGAAAAAACATGAAAATGTTTTTGTGTACAAACCTTTTTGTCGCCTTTCAAATCTTCCTCCTCCTCTCCTGCACTTCCGGGGTCAGACGTCGTGGACAAAAGCCTTTTTAACTGTCCATGTGCTGAAGGTTTCTTGCCATCACCAACATATGCGGCAATGATATCATCCTCTGTAACAGTTGAATTACATGATAAGAAGCCAGCCGGTTGATGTGATCTAGCAGCAATAACCAATACCAAGCAATAAGTACATTCAGTGAAAATATCAACAAATACTCTCTCCAGTAACATGAGCCCACAAGTGAGTAACAGACTAAATACTGGCCCTCCTCCCAAAAGTGAGTAACAGACTAAATACTGGCCCTCCTCCCAAAAGTGAGTAACAGACTAAATACTGGCCCTCCTCCCAAAAGTGAGTAACAGACTAAATACTGGCCCTCCTCCCAAAAGTGAGTGGCTCCTCCCAAAAGTGAGTAACAGACTAAATACTGGCCCTCCTCCCAAAAGTGAGTAACAGACTAAATACTGGCCCTCCTCCCAAAAGTGAGTAACAGACTAAATACTGGCCCTCCTCCCAAAAGTGAGTTACAGACTAAATACTGGCCCTCCTCCCAAAAGTGAGTAACAGACTAAATACTGGCCTTCCTCCTAAAAGTGAGTTACAGACTAAATACTGGCCCTCCTCCCAAAAGTGAGAAACAGACTGGTCCTCCTCCCAAATACTGGCCCTCCTCCCAAAAGTGAGTAACAGACTGGCCCTCCTCCCAGTGAGTAACAGACTAAATACTGGCCCTCCTCCCAAAAGTGAGTAACAGACTAAATACTGGCCCTCCTCCCAAAAGTGAGTAACAGACTAAATACTGGCCCTCCTCCCAAAAGTGAGTAACAGACTAAATACTGGCCCTCCTCCCAAAAGTGAGTAACAGACTAAATACTGGCCCTCCTCCCAAAAGTGAATAACAGACTAAATACTGGCCTTCCTCCTAAAAGTGAGTTACAGACTAAATACTGGCCCTCCTCCCAAAAGTGAGAAACAGACTAAATACTGGCCCTCCTCCCAAAAGTGAGAAACAGACTAAATACTGGCCCTCCTCCCAAAAGTGAGAAACAGACTAAATACTGGCCCTCCTCCCAAAAGTGAGAAACAGACTAAATACTGGCCCTCCTCCCAAAAGTGAGTTACAGACTAAATACTGGCCCTCCTCCCAAAAGTGAGTTACAGACTAAATACTGGCCCTCCTCCCAAAAGTGAGTAACAGACTAAATACTGGCCCTCCTCCCAAAAGTGAGTAACAGACTAAATACTGGCCCTCCTCCCAAAAGTGAGTAACAGACTAAATACTGGCCCTCCTCCCAAAAGTGAGAAACAGACTAAATACTGGCCTTCCTCCCAAAAGTGAGTTACAGACTAAATACTGTCCCTCCTCAATGTGAGTAACAGACTTAATACTGGTCCTCCTCCCAAAAGTGAGTAACAGACTAAATACTGGCCCTCCTCCCAAAAGTGAGAAACAGACTAAATACTGGCCCTCCTCCCAAAAGTGAGTAACAGACTAAATACTGGCCCTCCTCCCAAAAGTGAGTTACAGACTAAATACTGGCCCTCCTCCCAAAAATTGTTTACAGTTTACCGTGTATATATTGAACCCTTTGCTTATTGTAACAAAACACAGTTTATTCTAAACTGAACATTAAATAGGTAGGTTGACCATTGAGCAGACTTGACCAGGTAATTGTACCATTACCGTAGGGTCATCCTATAGTACACATGTTATCATAAAATGCCCCAACTGTAGTACACATCTTTTCACCACCATACAATTAGAAACTTAAAATAGCAGAATATTACCCCATAAAAAAATCATCTGTGATTGCATCATTACAGCAGACCATGCAAACAATTAAACGTTAACCTGGGAAGTCACACAATCACCATGCGCTGTAACTAAGCCCCTTTCTCCTCCAGTTCAAAACTTCCAGCACAATTTATTTATATTCTTTCATCTTCAACATGACAAAGTCGATACCTTTACCTTTATGTATCATTTAATTGTAGCCAGAGAATGTATCCAACTTTGCCCATGTGTTAGTCAGGTCCTATATCTGATCTACATGGTTAGTGAGAAATGTGCTATATATCTACAGTGTATGAGGAAACTCATCAAATCCCAATGAACTTACAGTATAAGACTTTCTAGCTTATGGTGTTTTATTTACGAACACCGAGATATTTCAAAACTGGCTCAACTTTCAGTATGCATCAAAATGATTTTAAACCTGCAAACATTAAATGAAATATCTCCCACCAATAAAGTACATTGATTCTATTGATAATCATAAATAATTTATTGATAGTTTCTTGCAAAAAATATCAAGTTCTGATAAATCTGTTTTCTTAATGTTGATGTTATACATCCTGTTAGACTTTATTCTACAGGATTACAATTTAAAAACAAGGGAATTCATGATTTTTGTTTTATAATTAAATCACCGTACCTTCTTCATATAGCAAATCCAAAATCCACAGTAAGTATGAAATGAGAGAAAAGTATAGTAGATGAAGATTTATTAAATGCATGAATGTAACAACTGTCCAATCTGACATCTTGTTGAATCTGACACATCAGTTTAAAAGGTCCATAATATACAACAGGAAGGTTTCCTTTTTCAAAAGTAACACTTTTCAAGACGTCAGATCAAATCATAATATGCAATTTTGATTGATAGATTTTAGTACAAATGATTTTAAAGAGATGTTTGTTGGAGTAATAATAAATCTACAGGGTTTTTAGTTTTCATATGAAATTTTATAACAAATGTCAGATGTGATTGGATGTCTGATTAGACAGGTTTTACTCCACACCCAGTCATGTGATTAATTTTATTAGCTTATCATTCTAAAACATACACACTTACTTGTACAGTAAAACAAACTTCAGGAAATCCAAACATTATTTGTCAATAACTGACAATAAATCTCTTGTTTATTATTTGCTACAAGTTAGAATTTCTCATTTGGTGTATCTAGAGTGTAAAAGAGTGTTTTACTGTACAAATGACAACATTATCACACAGGCTTTCACTCCTGGCAGAGCTCAGCAGGTGAATGAATATACATGTAAAGAGTGACTAAGTACAGCATTATAGACACCAAAAATGTAATATGATAGCTTTTTAAGCTATGACTGTCTACATTAAAGCTAGCAGGATTGCAATAAGACATGAACACTTCTTAATGGTTTTTCTCTTCTACCTAAAAAATGAAGTGTAAATTATAGAGCTATAAACTGCCATATTATCCTCCTCCTATCTAATATTTTCAGGTGTTTCTCTGCTTTTTTAATCTTTGACTAACTTGTGACATTCTAGTAAGTCAACATTCCACTACTGCAGCATAAATTCTTAATACCTTGAAGGTTCATAAACTTTTTCCGTTTCAGAAATTATCTGTAGTTTTAGGTTTCAGCAATGGTTTTTCAGATGTGGTATATTAAGTTGATCTTAAAAGTTGAAAAAAGGGTAGGAATAAATTTAAGTATCTTTTTATATTTTTTACCAAAAGTCATAAAAAATTTATCTGATTTGTACCCAACACTTCTCCAGTTTCTACTGTATTAAACAACTTGCAGGGACTCATCTTTTCATCATGTATCGAAGTCTGTCATATCCAAGGTCAATGATCTTTGTAGATGTTACTTTAAATACAATGTGAAATAGTTTATAGTTTACCTGCTAAAACTAGTCATCCACAGAAAGCATGAAATAAAGTAAACATTGTGTAATTCCATTTCTGCATGTATAAGTAATATACAAATGTATTCATATACTGGTCACATAGCTACAGTACTATCTTGTAAGTGTGCCAGAGCTTGTGAGCATGCTATCAAAACCAATCTACAGTTGATGAATCATCAGAACTGGTGAAAGCATCATGAAAACATGTGAATATGTCGTCAGAACTTGTGAATATGTCGTCAGAACCTGTGAATATGTCATTCAACCATGTGAATATGTCATCAGAACTTTTGAATATGTCATCAAAACTTGTGAATGTGTCATCAGAACTTGTGAATGTGTCATCAGAACTTGTGGATATGTCGTAAGAACTTGTGGATATGTCATTCAACCTTGTGAATATGTCATCAGAACTTGTGAATATGTCATCAGAACTTGTGAATGTGTCATCAGAACTTGTGGATATGTCATTCAACCTTGTGAATATGTCATCAGAACTTGTGAATATGTCATCAGAACTTGTGGATATGTCATTCAACCTTGTGAATATGTCATCAGAACTTGTGAATATGTTGTCAGAACTTGTGAATATGTTGTCAGAACTTGTGAATATGTTGTCAGAACTTGTGAATATGTCATCAGAACTTGTGGATATGTCATCAGAACCTGTGAATATGTCATCAGAACTTGTGGATATGTCATCAGAACTTGTGAATATGTCATCAGAACTTGTGGATATGTCATCAGAACCTGTGAATATGTCGTCAGAACTTTTGAATATGTCATCACAACTTGTGAATATGTCATCACAACGTGTCAATTTTGTGAATGTATCATCTGAACTTGTGATAAATATAATCAACACTTGAGCATCATTAGAACTGTAGAAAATATCATTAAAATCTGTTAAATCTGTCAGGAAATAATGTTTGTTATTAGATTTCATGTAAGATAAGAAATCAACAAGCACATGAGATATCAGTGATTAACTAGTGTCATTACTGTAATAAAGAAAGCTTTACATGTGATAAAAAAGCAAGTGACAAAATTTGAACAATTTGTTATATGATCTTTAACTAGTTAGATGAAATGAACAATATCTACAGTATCAAAAAAGAAAGACAAAATGGTGCCCATCACCTTTGATATCTGTTTAAAGAGTAAAACCTTGTTTAGAAACATTGTGAAGAGTCTTTTATGAAATGAAACTCTCTTGATATCAAAACAAGGTTCTACATCATACTAATAAGTAGGTAGTCATTCTAGCAGACTTCTATCTTATCATATTTACCTTCCTCGTCTCTATCCTGGGTCTAAAACAAGGGAATATTTCATGAAATTAAATTTCAAAATGTCCTTACATACAGTGTTATATATTTGATAGCAGTAAAATTTTCAATTTTGTTAAAGTTAAAACACACATTTTCGATAGAAAAGGCAATAGAATAGTGATAAAATTTCTATAGCCACAGTCAAACTCAATCTCCTTCACCTCTATAGACAGATTATAGCTACAGTCAAACTCAATCTCCTTCACCTCTATAGACAGATTATAGGAACAGATAAACTCAATCTCCTTCACCTCTATAGACAGATTATAGCTACAGTCAAACTCAATCTCCTTCACCTCTATAGACAGATTATAGGAACAGCTACAGTCAAACTCAATCTCCTTCACCTCTATAGACAGATTATAGGAACAGTCAAACTCAATCTCCTTCACCTCTATAGACAGATTATAGGAACAGTCAAACTCAATCTCCTTCACCTCTATAGACAGATTATAGGAACAGTCAAACTCAATCTCCTTCATCTCTATAGACAGATTATAGGAACAGTCAAACTCAATCTCCTTCATCTCTATAGACAGATTATAGGAACAGTCAAACTCAATCTCCTTCACCTCTATAGACAGATTATAGGAACAGACAAACTCAATCTCCTTCACCTCTATAGACAGATTATAGGAACAGTCAAACTCAATCTCCTTCACCTCTATAGACAGATTATAGGAACAGTCAAACTCAATCTCCTTCACCTCTATAGACAGATTATAGCTACAAACTCAATCTCCTTCACCTCTATAGACAGATTATAGGAACAGTCAAACTCAATCTCCTTCACCTCTATAGACAGATTATAGGAACAGTCAAACTCAATCTCCTTCACCTCTATAGACAGATTATAGCTACAAACTCAATCTCCTTCACCTCTATAGACAGATTATAGCTACAGACAAACTCAATCTCCTTCACCTCTATAGACAGATTATAGCTACAGTCAAACTCAATCTCCTTCACCTCTATAGACAGATTATAGCTACAGTCAAACTCAATCTCCTTCACCTCTATAGACAGATTATAGGAACAGTCAAACTCAATCTCCTTCACCTCTATAGACAGATTATAGCTACAGTCAAACTCAATCTCCTTCACCTCTATAGACAGATTATAGGAACAGATAAACTCAATCTCCTTCACCTCTATAGACAGATTATAGGAACAGACAAACTCAATCTCCTTCACCTCTATAGACAGATTATAGGAACAGATAAACTCAATCTCCTTCACCTCTATAGACAGATTATAGGAACAGTCAAACTCAATCTCCTTCACCTCTATAGACAGATTATAGGAACAGTCAAACTCAATCTCCTTCACCTCTATAGACAGATTATAGCTACAGTCAAACTCAATCTCCTTCACCTCTATAGACAGATTATAGGAACAGATAAACTCAATCTCCTTCACCTCTATAGACAGATTATAGGAACAGACAAACTCAATCTCCTTCACCTCTATAGACAGATTATAGGAACAGATAAACTCAATCTCCTTCACCTCTATAGACAGATTATAGGAACAGTCAAACTCAATCTCCTTCACCTCTATAGACAGATTATAGGAACACATAAACTCAATCTCCTTCACCTCTATAGACAGATTATAGGAACAGTCAAACTCAATCTCCTTCATCTCTATAGACAGATTATAGGAACAGTCAAACTCAATCTCCTTCATCTCTATAGACAGATTATAGGAACAGTCAAACTCAATCTCCTTCACCTCTATAGACAGATTATAGGAACAGTCAAACTCAATCTCCTTCACCTCTATAGACAGATTATAGCTACAGTCAAACTCAATCTCCTTCACCTCTATAGACAGATTATAGCTACAGTCAAACTCAATCTCCTTCACCTCTATAGACAGATTATAGCTACAGTCAAACTCAATCTCCTTCACCTCTATAGACAGATTATAGCTACAGTCAAACTCAATCTCCTTCACCTCTATAGACAAATTATAGGAACAGTCAAACTCAATCTCCTTCACCTCTATAGACAGATTATAGCTACAGTCAAACTCAATCTCCTTCACCTCTATAGACAGATTATAGGAACAGATAAACTCAATCTCCTTCACCTCTATAGACAGATTATAGGAACAGACAAACTCAATCTCCTTCACCTCTATAGACAGATTATAGGAACAGATAAACTCAATCTCCTTCACCTCTATAGACAGATTATAGGAACAGTCAAACTCAATCTCCTTCACCTCTATAGACAGATTATAGGAACAGTCAAACTCAATCTCCTTCACCTCTATAGACAGATTATAGCTACAGTCAAACTCAATCTCCTTCACCTCTATAGACAGATTATAGGAACAGATAAACTCAATCTCCTTCACCTCTATAGACAGATTATAGGAACAGACAAACTCAATCTCCTTCACCTCTATAGACAGATTATAGGAACAGATAAACTCAATCTCCTTCACCTCTATAGACAGATTATAGGAACAGTCAAACTCAATCTCCTTCACCTCTATAGACAGATTATAGGAACACATAAACTCAATCTCCTTCACCTCTATAGACAGATTATAGGAACAGTCAAACTCAATCTCCTTCACCTCTATAGACCAATTATAGCCACAGTTAGACTTAAGCTCGTTCACCACAAATCCTTTTCCATATTTATTATCACATTCCTTATCACTACTGCCACATCCTATTTAACATAAAGTGTATAAGCCATTCTGCCATTTTCCATAGCCACACCTTTTTATTTATATCTAAAGTCACATTCCTCCATCACTATAGCAACAGCACTCCATCTCCTTAGCAACACCTTTTTACATTTAGAGTAACACCTGTTCACATCTACTGCCACACCACTTCATACCTATATATAGCAATATCCCTCCTTATGTATAGCCCAAATCAACTCTTTTACCTTATAACATTTTTTGTTTAGTACCGTAAGTCATAAAGAATGAAAACTCACCTGTAGTGTTACCAGTGTCTTGTATACACCTCCCTGAGACATTAATTGGTCGTGTGTCCCCATTTCTACGATCTCACCGTCCTTAAACCCGGCAATTGTATCTGCAGTCTTAATGGTGGACAGCCTGTGTGCAATCACTATGGTGGTCCTGCCTGCTCTGGCCTTCACAAAAGAAATTCACATGTTACCATACTGATGCAATTTGTAAAATAGCTTATTCACCAATAATTATCAGGACCTATTCCAACTTCACGAGGATTCTAAATAAGAATAATTTTCTCCCAATTCTAATTAAAATAGCATCAAACTTTCCACAGCGAAGAAATTGTGAAACAAAATCTACCAACATTTATACGTAAATAGGTCCCCGACAGAAAATAAACCTTTCCTAATCTATGCCCACAAATTTTACTTTATGGTCCTGTTAAAGGCAACCTGATTTAAGACAATATGATGTGCTAGCCCCTTGGTCCTTGCAAAATTAAAAGGAGTATAACGGTAAACTCATATAAATTTCAGTGTTTAGGACTGAACTCTGACATATAACACTGGACTTCTAACACTGTCAACAGTATTTGTACAAAAGCTTCACTCTTAGCCTCCATAACTGACCTTTAACCTTTAACAGAGACCTTATAACCTATGAAGGACAAATGACCTTAAACCCTTGACCTATAAACAGTGATCTTCTGACCTTATCAATGACCCCCTGTACCACAACATCATTTCCTAGCCACAGGACTGACTTTTGATCTATAACAGTGGCTTTCTAACCTTATCAAGAGCCTCTTGTACGATGGCCTCACTCTCAGTATCAAGAGCTGATGTAGCTTCATCGAGCAGAAGAATCCGAGGATCCCTGACGAGGGCACGGGCGATGGCTACTCTCTGCTTCTGACCACCACTCAACTGGGCTCCTCGCTCCCCAACCAGTGTCTCGTATTTCTGATAAAACATATCAATCAATTTCAGCTTACAATTTCATTTAACCAGGCTGTGTTTGTCATATCTGTGTCACAGCATTCAGTATATAGTACCTATATATAGGATATGGCGGTCTACAGTGTAAACACAATTATATGCAAAATCAAACTCCCTCTATATTAAAAAAAAAAAAAAAAGACAAGATTTAAATGCATCAAAAGTCATGTTCTTATCATTCTTATACAAGAGGACATTCTTTTACACAAGACCAGTTAATATCACTGAAATTATCTATATAACAGAGGTAACTAACAAATCACATATTTATCATCAGCTCATATTTTTATATCAAAGGTCATTGTAACACTAGACATTCTTCTTAAATCAGAGATCATTCTATATAAGATTCTGTTTTTCTTAAACTAGATATATAATTTTGTATAAGACAAGAGGTCCACAGGCCTTAACAGTCATCTGACTGTAACGACCTTTATATGAAAAAGGCAAAACTGGCCTAAAATAAATTGCCCAACTATATTGCAGCTTACAAAGTCGACATTGTTGGTTCATAAAAATATTTTCTGCAAACTTGAATTCATATTCTTTTTGTATGCTACTACACAAATGCCATTACTCCAGACCTAATGCTTGTCGAAAAAGAATTTTTAAGATCTCAACTCACTTGGCCCAAGAGGTCTTGAATATAGGTCAAGGTAAATTATTTGAACAATCAGTAGCCCTTCATCTTCTTATAATGAAAAAATGACCTTTTTTGTTAATGAGAAGAAGTTGTTTGAAGATTTTAACACATTTGACCCCTGTGACCATTAAAAAGAAAAAAGGTCAAATCACATGAACAAAATTGGTAACCCTTCATCTCATATGCTACAGGGCCAATATCAGCACCCAAGGTCTTTTGGTTATTGAGAAAGAGTCATTTAAAGGTTTTAATATATTTGACCCCTGTGACCTTGAAGTATGTCAAGGTCATTCATTTCATCAACCTGGTAGCCCACTAACCCATCATGCTACAGGCCCCATATCAGCACCCTAAGCCTTTTGGTTATAGACAAGAAGTCATTTTAATGGAAAGTTTACGCACAGTGCATGGCGCATGTCAACATACAAAACATGATGGCTTTAGGTCATCCTAAACCTTTGGGTCAGATGACCTAAAATGTCATTTTCATATCAGAGGTCACTTTCATATGATCAGTCTTTCATTTAAAAGTAAACTTTCATATAAGAGAAAGGTTCTTAAACATAAATGGAAGCTGTATCACAACTGAATCTCATTAACTCAAAAGTTGGCAGGACAGTGACAAAACTTTGAATAACTAAGCATTTGATTCAAGTGAGTTTGAATGGTTGATGTGAAGTTTTGCAAGGATCAACAGAACAATTTGAATTAATAGGGTGTTTAGGTTATATGATTTTGAGATTAAGAGGTGCAACTGTATGTCAAAATGTTTCTGCCTTAAATAGAGAAGTAATTCCTATGTCAGAATTCTTACGTCCGGAAGATTGCTGATGAAGTTGTGAGCATTAGCCATCTCTGCTGCCTTTCTGATTTCATCATCAGTGACGTTTTCTCGTCCATATCGGATATTTTCAGCAATTGTAGTGGCAAAGAGGACTGGTTCCTGACTCACTATACCAATGTGCTGTCTGAGCCACGGTACATTTAGTTCACGGATATCTGTACCATCTATCAAAATCTGATAATACAAAATTCAGATGTTTCAGATATTAGTAAATGTCAATTTTCTTTCAACTTTCAAATGATGATATCTGGCATTGTGTTTGTAATTGTAAGGTTTATTATTGGACTAAAAAGGATATACATAGACAACATTCACTTGTACAACTTGGAAAATTCAACAAGTTCCCCAATGACCTATCTATTATCAATGATTTGCAACTATCATTAGATGATATCAATTTGATATGAAATTCAAAACTGTATTCTGAGGAAGCAAAACTCCAAAAAGAAATACATTCTATAAACTATTATACTGATACTGTGGATCAACAAAATTCACAAACTTAATGAGAACATATAACAAATACACTGTATGACAAAAGATAATACTGGTCTCAATATATTGTATGACAAAAGATAATACTGGTCTCAATATATTGTATGACAAAAGATAATACTGGTCTCAATACTTTGTATGACAAAAGATAATACTGGTCTCAATATATTGTATGACAAGTATTATACTTGATTTAACACATTAAATTTGAGAAAAAATAAAACTGATTCAATACTTTAAATTCATGACAAAAGGCAATACAATATATTTGACCTTGTGATACAAACCTGCCCTTCTGTTGGGTCATAGAATCTCTGCAGTAGCTGAACCATGGTACTCTTACCACATCCACTAGAGCCCACCAAGGCTACTGTCTGACCATTAGCCACATGTAGGCTAACACCCTTCAGGACCTGCAATCAGGACTCTTAACAATTAATAATGGACATTAAAGCAAGAATTATGTTTCTTCAGAAGACAACTTTTTCCATATTTTCCATTACCCGTTAAGTTTCCTATCAAATTAGCTACAGATACAGCACAAGGATTAGAAATATAGAATACATGGTCACTGTCTTAAAATATAAGCTGTATTTTGGCAAGGATGAAAAAAGACAAAAGTGGCGAGCCTCTGGCAAGTCACTTTTGTCTTTCTTCACCCTTGCAAAAATGTGTTTAAAGACACAAACCATGTATTCTATTTATCCTGCAACATTGATTAACAAGGGTCTAATTGAAGCACAAAATATGCCTATCGCCAGTCTTCGACGGAGAAGCAGTGTCTTGGAATAATCTGAATATCATTTGGGGAAGTTTTAGCCATGTCATACCACCATTTGCCAATATAGTATGTAAACTTATGATTTACATACACTATATACTAACAAGGGAAGTTTACGAAAAATCAACAAAGGGGGAATAACTCAGACACGATGCATGCGATGTGGGCACTTTTTATACATGACGGTGACCAGAGAGCAAGGAGTCACAAAGTTATGGCCCGGACAAGGGAAGATTACGAAAAATCAACTAAGGGGGAATAACTCAGAAACTACGCATGCCAGGCAGGCAATTTTTATACGCTACACTCCATCACCTTGAGATATATATGTGTACAAAGTATGGTGACAATAGACCGAGGACTCACAAAGTTATGGCCTGGACAAGGAAAGTTTACAACAGACATACGGACGGAAAGACAGACGCCATACTATAATATTTATATTTCTAAATGTAATAGTTGAGTGAATTCAGAGAGTAATTCTGTTTTGTCATTGCTCAATACAGAAAAAATGTATGAGGCAGGCATATTTTGACAATGGCAGTGTCAGTTGCAGGATAAATAACATTTTTAGGTTAATCCTATTGAAATTCAAAATTCAATTTCAGTTTGTAAAACATAGGAAAACATACAGACCTCGACTTCTTTTCGTGCCGGATAAGTAAAGCGTACTCCACGGAAATCCACATTTCCCTGGATCCTGTCAGGTTGCTTCCCACCTTTGGATTCACTGTCTATATCTGGTTTCTATAAAGATATTATTTTAGTATCATAATAGTGAACTAAATACATCATGTAATCATCATTGGAGCATGAAATGTGTGATTTTTCAACTATTCTACTTAAGGGATGATGTTTCACAATAACGCCTCTTGTCAGTTATCTTTCCCTATGCATGTGCAAAGACTAACTCCTTCTTTCCCTTTGTAAACATGGGATGATATTGGTGAAATGCCTGCTACAGTGTGGAGATCAGCTGCTTAATTAGCAACCAAAGCTCCAAATGGGATCACAAAGCTCTAAACAGGATCACAGCAACTGCTATCAATTATCTATCATTAAAAAAACTGGCTACTGTTTGAATTATCTGACCAAGCTGAAAAATATTGTATTTTCTAAAAATATAATTTAAATCCATTCATTTCTGAAATGGCAGTAAGAATTTATAAAGATGGATAAACTCAAAGACCCACAGATCATCAATGAAAAGCCATTGGGAAAATCACATCCTGTAATGGGTGTTAGCTAGTGAAAATTATACAAAAGGATAGGCATATGTGGCATAAACAGTCAAACATTTTCTGAAATGTTGATCACAACAGGAAATAAACACCCCTTCAGTATGAAAAAGAATATACAGTTCTACCTATATTTTTTTCCTCAGATATCTCAAAACAGCTTGACATGTTTTTACCCATCTCACAGCATACATACCTGTTCTATGAGTTGAAAGATAATGTACGCAGCTCCTCTGGCCACTGCAAGACTCTGGAGATGTGGAGCTGCATTACCAAGTGAAAACGCACCAATCAGCACACTGAAGAACACCTGAAATTACACATACCATCACAGGTGAGAATTGACAGATCTGGGGCTATGTTATCGTCAGTGAGGAAGTAGGATATCTTTGAATCAGGCCTGTCACTTCTAGTAGTAATCAACCCAATTACAGAATTGAAGCATGCCTACATGAGAAAGAGTCAACACAGAGATTAATATTGCAAGTTAGCTCAATCGACTTTTATTTTTTCCTCGTTAAAACTGCAGTTAAATTGGTGGGCAAAAAGATAGATGCAAACAAATAAAATATATATATAAATGTGAATATCAATTTAAGATATTGCTAATATTATCATCTATAGATGCGATGAGACCAGTGGAAGACTGAATATTTGTGTCCATTATCGTGCCACTATCAAACTTTTACCACTCAAGAAAACTTACGATCAGGACTTTCCCGATACTGTAACCATCATCACGAACAAGCTTGGCACCATACCAGAATCCAAGAGCGTATGACCCCATCATGATGAACCAAATGATTCCCATAGATAATCCACTTGTGATACTTTTCTTTATACCAATCTTCTTGGCATGTTCCAAGTTTTTGTCATATCTAGAAAATTAAATGATTCACAATATGAAAAGGCTTCTTTTTCTCTGTAATAAATTTACTGATTTTTTTTCTTCAGTTTTTTTTTCAGATTGAAAAAGAATGAATTTTCTTTCTTGTAGAATTAAAGCACATCATATTCCTCTTAATATCACATTTTATTTGTCAAAACTATAACATGATATTAAGCAGCATAACATTCACTTAATATGCCAAATCATTTGTGTATTGGTTTGCAAAGTATACTCCTGACTATCTAAATATTACTTCTGTCAAGACTACGATTATATACCTAACAAACTCCTTTTTCTGTCCTCCGAAGGCGACAACTGTTCGGATTGAGCTGAGTACCTCTTCTGCCACCGATCCTGCCTTGGCATAAGCCTTCAACTCCATACTGGACATTGTTCCCACCAACTGTTGTAACAAAAAAGAACATGTTAAAGAGGGATTTATACAGGGTTTTTTTATCACTGGTGGATGAGAATACTTAGTTTTAATCTGGAGGTTTCTTCAATGCATAACACTAACCTTATTCATGACAAATCCTGTCGCTGCTAGTAGTGGACTTATGGCGAGAATTACCAAAGTCAGTTTCCAACCATAATAGAAACCTATTACAAACCCAGCCAGAAAACCCGAAAACCACTGCCAGAATGATCCAAGCTTGTCCCCGATACCAGCATGGATTTTGTTAATGTCGCTGTAAAAAGGAAGAGAAGAAGAAAATTATTATCAACAAATTTCTTTTTATTTGTAAACAATCTCTCCATCTGTGTCTGTGGCCCTTGCATGCTGACCAAATTGTTATCGTCCCATTCATATTGTAAAGAAGCATGGCGGTCGTTCCAGTATTTGACCTATAACCCAATATCCTATCGATCCAAGGATGCAGAAGACTATTGTAAACTTCCACTATGGCTTCGAAGTAACTGCGAAACTCCAGAAGATATCATTGGGATCATATTAAAAGACATTAAATCCACAAGAATGTTATTCTTATTTCAATCTTCAAATCATCCTGTGTATGATTACAAACGATATTCCATATGCAAGCTTTTTAGTTACTTATGTGATATATTCCATTCACACTTACTTCATACATACAGAAATGATTTTACAAATTCAATTATGAAATTATCTCTTTTTGAGTAGACAAATGATATACTGTATGCAGAGTGCCTGAACACATAAGCAGATTATGTCTGTGTGACATTTAAATTGATCACTATCTAATACTAGTTGTTAAATTTATGACATCACAGGTGATAGCCTCCCATTCAGTGCAAGCCACCCTTTGAATAATTGAACAGGTGAAAATTGTACACTTCACACGTCAATATCTTGGTATTGGGCTGGCCAATTTTAGTGGATTTTCAAATTTTTTGAACATTTACAATAACACTGTTTTCATTTCTATTTTCACTCAGAGTACAATTTGAAGTAGCTGATACAGTAACAATTATGCTATACTCATGAAGAGAACAGTATCTATACATAAATTGTGGTAAAATGATAAACTATGGATTTAAGACGTACTCAGACAAACGGGTGTTCAGCTCTCCTGATTCATGCGTATCAAACCATCCTATTTCTTGACGAATAACATTCTTGAAGAATGCTTGCCGGATTCTGTGTGACTGGCGCTCAGCGGCAATGGCCCAGAAAGTGACCTGACAATATCCGACCACAAGTACACCACATCCAATTACTGGAGGGAAAAATAAACATACTGTCAACAACAACAACATAACAGCTATAAAAAACAGGATATTGATTAATACAAAATAAAAAATTCAAGAATGATGTTATAAACTTAGTTGTCTATTTCTGCTTCTATGGCTCATGTAGATGTCCTGTTTATATTACATGTCTCCTAAGTAATTACTGAAATCAACTACATGTTATGAAACACTAGAAAGATTTTTATGCATATATTAAATCGCATCTGAGTAATTTTGCATATTAAACAGTAAGATATATAAATGTTGTTTATCTGAGTTATTATCAACAACATGGACCTAACATTTATAACAGATCTTCCATGTACTGATTTTTGTTTTTTTCATACACTGATAAAACACAACATTAATATTTACTGATCATATGTTGTCAAAATATTATGAAAGTATGAATTTCACATATAGACAGAAAATGAGACTGGAAAAAAATATCTGAAACCTTTTTATACATTCAAACTTTTGAAATGTCAAAAACTGTTTTATTCTTTATTACCATGTAGTAAACATACAGCTAGTAAGATTCCGACTCTTATTTTGTATATATAATGCTAGTATACTTACTGATATAATAAATGGCGAAGGTGCCCATTTGGTCGAGAAGGCTGTTTTCCAGCTGGTAGTCAAGCTGTGGTAGGTAGTCACTGATGTTACTTACGTTTCTGTATTGTCTGTAACCAACATATGATAAAGACAATCAGTTTACATTCACATTTAGGGAGACGGGGAATATAATAACAGTAAATAAGATATTGCAGACAATACTTATCCCCACATAGTTCAACTGATGCACAATAACAGATGGCCAAGTACTTGAAGTCTGGTCAAAAGCCAGTAGGCATGACAAAGACTTGAAAAATATAGTAACAGTGACCTTGACCTTAGCTATACAACCCTGAAACTCTAACTTGTCCCTGATATTATGGTCTCTTAGAAGAATGTAAAGTTTTATCTAACTCACTTTAGGAACAAAGTCACCAGAGAGCTTACATTGATTCTCGGAAAATAATAATGGTTAGCTTGACCATGACCCAACATCCCAGAAAATCAAACATGTCCATTTGGCTATATTACATATCACTGTTTGGAAATTTCTAGGAATTTTTCAGCCATATTTGAAATCACACACAATATTACTTTCTAAACACACTTTCTTTGAAAAACATCAGTTGAATGAAATATGATGCTATCTTATTTGTTTTGATACCTGAGCAACTCTGGATTAGAGAAAGCTTCGTCCCGGGTAAATGTCAGAGTGTACCCCATAGCTACCAGGATAGCATAGATGGAGTCCACTGCAGTACTGTACAGGCCAGAATTCACAAACAGATCTATCATGTCTCCAAACACGATGATCATTCCCGGCAACGCAGCACCATGACAACAGGCTGTTAGTGACCCCAGAATCATCAGGAGAACGTCACCACATGTAGCAAACTTAAACTAAAATAAACAAGGTTACCATCAGTGAAAGCCCACTTCCTGACTTAAGTTAGAAGTATTAACCTATATTGCTGTTTAATAATACCTTGAAGCCACCCCTTTTGGCTCTCTAGCCTTTATATGTTATTTCAGTTGGACGTGATCTGCACTTTCCCATGTTAGATAAATAATTGCTAGAGAGCCAAAAGGGGTGGCTTCAAGGTATTATTAAACAGCAATATAGGTTAATACTTCTAACTTAAGTCAGGAAGTGGGCTTAATAAATGATAATGTTGCTAAATGAAATGGTGATAGATATGTGTTGACATACAACCAGATATTGGTGGATAAATACAATTCATGATACCGTCATTTTTCCTGTCATCTATACATATAACACAGATCTTCTGACAAAGTCAGTAAGATGACAGGGGTAGAGATACCATAATTACAGGACGTCCCTAGGAGACAGGGGTAGAGATACCATAATTACAGGACGTCCCTAGGAGACAGGGGTAGAGATACCATAATTACAGGACATCCCTAGGAGACAGGGGTAGAGATACCATAATTACAGGGCGTCCCTAGATGACAGGGGTAGAGATACCATAATTACAGGACGTCCCTAGGAGACAGGGGTAGAGATACCATAATTACAGGACGTCCCTAGGAGACAGGGGTAGAGATAGCGTAATTACAGGACGTCCCTAGAAGACAGGGCTAGAGATACTGTAATTACAGGATGTCCCTTGAAGACAGGGGTAGAGATACTGTAATTACAGGACGTCCCTAGGAGATAGGTAGAGATAGCGTAATTACAGGACGTCCCTAGGAGACAGGGCTAGAGATAGCATAATTACAGGACGTCCCTAGAAGACAGGGGTAGAGATACTGTAATTACAGGATGTCCCTTGAAGAAAGGGGTAGAGATACTGTAATTACAGGACGTCCCTAGGAGATGGGTAGAGATACTGTAATTACAGGACGTCCCTAGAAGACAGTGGTAGACATACCGTAATTACAGGACGTCCCTAGGAGACAGGGATAGAGATACTGTAATTACAGGACGTCCCTAGGAGACAGGGGTAGAGATACTGAAATTACAGGACGACCCTAGGAGACAGGGATAGATATACTGTAGTGTAATTCTAATTCAACTTTTATAGAAAGGGAACAAATGAAAAATTGTGACCCCAGTATAATTAAACTCCACTATAACTTACGACTTCAAACATTCCCACCATCTTTGCCTCTTCCTCATCTTTCTTCTCTTTATCACCTTCATCACTTTTCGCACTTGAGCCTCTCGATTTTGCTGAATTGTTTGCATCTGAAAGGGCGACTCTGTTGAGGTCAGCAGCTGACTTTCCATTGGCCTTGTAAGCTTCATCTTCAGAATCTATTTATAGCACAAGACATAATCTATATTAGCACATAAAGGATTCCTTGTTCCTTGATTATTCTGGTCTGTTTTTCTTTTTTTTTTTTGTCTACAAATGATGTTGCACACTTGTTCAGTTTCAAAAACTTCTGATTACCTGAGGGAAAATAAGCTGCTGCAGCAGCCATGTTGTGTGTATATATATATATATATACAACACAGAAAAATAGAGGGATATAGCAGACAAATGACGCAAGCTGGAAAGTCAAGAGTCCCAAACAAACCTGACATCACCTAGCAACCATCTAAACCTACACAATGAACTGAACAGTATTGATCCAGATAGAATTATCATACAGGTACTTGATTTTTATGAAATACACTATATGATCTTGTAATTACTATGACACATTAAACTGACAAATTAGACAAATATATTTTGTTTTTCTTTAATTTACCAACTCTTAAATCAGATTTATACAGTCTTATTTCTCTTCAAACAAGTCACAACTATCACCTGATGCTGGTATGAACAAACAAATCTGCATATACACTTTGAAACACGAGCAAAGCTGTTTTTTCATGCCTCTGAAAATTATTAATGATTATTCCCAATATGACACTTACATAGTTTTTTTTTTGTTTTTTGAATTTCAATGATTAAAACATATCAGATTTCTGTTTAAAGTTGAGCTAAACTAACAACTCTTTACAATAAGCCTCAGACATAAGTCAAAACACATGTCATATGAACACATTTTCTAAATGAAGCTATGTAAATATATTTTACATTCGTGAGATCAGAGTCAACACAGTTCTCTACACATGTGTACATAATAATCTTCTTAACCCATCTGTCTGAAGCAACCGATTGTCAGGGCACATATAGCCTTAACTTGCTTCCAGTCCAAAGACATGACATTCTTCAATCTAAGAATGCTGAATTTCCATTTTAAATAAATGGAAATTTATTTCAGCGACAGTTCAACATTTTAGGTAAATACAGATACCTTATTGCTGTTTATTCAAATAACATTAACTATTATCAACCTAAATTTTTTACCAATTTTAAATAATTTGACAAGAGAAGCAGAAAAACTGTTTATTCTGGTCACTTTGTTTTCGGGAACCTTATCTTATTGGAAACTCATCTATAATTCATATCAAAAGAAATAATGGTATATGATGGATGGCTAAAAGTTCAATAAAATTTTGACAAGAGATCATATGGGATTCACCTCAGTGTGAATGTGAACATCATATCTACAAGCATGATAAACTATAACAGATGGCTTTAGATAACAGGTGGAAAAGGATTCATGAGGTGAATACATATCAAAATATAAAATACATAGACAAAAAAGGTAAAATGGATCATTAGAATCACTTCAACCGTAAATTCAATATGATAAAAATCTGACAATTATAGATGACATAGAAGATAAAACAACATCTGGATTCCATGGTTTTATTTTATTCTTGACAATTAAACAGAACTGGTATTCATGCTATTTATAAGCAAAATGATTTCTGTGAAATTTTGAAATCATAAAGATCATGTTGGTATACAACACTAGTGACACAAAAAACTGAAATATAAATAAACACATCCATACAAATACAAAAATGACATAATGTCCATATTACTTCAGTCTTATGTCTTCTGTTGATTATGGTAGACTATACATACTAATTTATACAATATACAGCTCTTGGATATGCTGAGATACAAAAAACAAAAATTCAGGTGATGACAAGTTATCAAGACTGGTTATTAACATTTCTAGGAAGAAATTCATAATATAAGGCTATGACCTTTTCCTTATTCTAGGTCAAAGTTCAGATATTAATGTCATGATCTTATACAGGATTGAGTATTAACTTGAAGCAGGAAACAAGGTCGCAGTAAAGTCAAAGGTTATGACCTTGTACATGGGAAAAACAAACCAATAAAATGCCAATAAGCAGGCAAGGCAGAGGTCATAGTGAAGGTGGGAAATATTTCTACTTCTAAACCAATAGCACATGGAAACAAAGGGAGATCACTGCTGAAGAAAACACAGAATGTTAACTGAGAAAGTGAGTTCAAGTAGAAGAAACACAAACAATCAATACATGGACATCCACAAAGTACCTGTATGTGACCATGGCAACAGGCTTCAGTGATACAAAACAAAATTCCTAAAAGTGATCATGGCAACATGCTTCTGTAGTACTATATGTTTATGTACAGTAAGTACTACATTTGCTTGTTTCAGGCACTGGTAAAGAACTTTAAGATTTAACAAAACCTGTCAACATTTAATTCCCAAACTTCTGATTGCCATTGAGAGTGATTCTTTGGTATTCATAAACTGACTGGTACATGTAGTTAAAGACCTATGATTCCAAAATGGAATTTTAGATCTGATTTACTAAATGTCTAGCACAGTATTACAAGTTTACATCAATTTATACAGCACTAACACTATAGTTTAGACAGCTATGATCAATGCTATAGTTTAGACAGCTATGATCAGTGCTATAGTTTAGACAGCTATGATCAATGCTATAGTTTAGACAGCTATGATCAGTGCTATAGTTTAGACAGCTATGATCAGTGCTATAGTTTAGAGCTATGTTATTGCTATAATTAAGACAGTATAATCTAACTGTTATCTACAATAAGAAGTATACCTAACTAATCAATTCATCATTGACCACTACCCTTTTTTTTTTATTTCTTGACAACAAATTTATGCACTTTCTATCAAGCAAGATAATCACTATGTTGCATTTTGTGAAATATTAAGTAGTGAGAAAATATGTTTGAACAAAACCTTTTAAAATATTTAAATTCACATCCATAAAGATTTACTTCTGATAAAATGTTATAAATTCCTGTAATAATCTGCATTCTTCACTGTTATATCAAAACAACTATCAGATGCCACCAATATAACCCCTAGTTATTTGATCTAGTATGTTGCATTGACCTTTGACACACTAGCAACAAAAATGAATATTCCTTCATTTTCTCTAAGAAACAGTACACATAGACAAATTCTGTTTGACTTAGCATTGACATTGACCTTTGAAAGATCACATTATATAAATTAATGTCCCTGTAGTGCTATCCATTGCAAAAGTATGAGTTTTCAGCAAGTCATTTGTTTTTTGGTACATACCTAAAGACAGTGACTTTAACTTCTGACAAACTGAGCCAAAAGTCCTTCAATTTCTTACATCTCTCATAAGTAAAATTGGCAAACCAAGTTTTTTCCATTATCTTAATTGCTTTATGAAATTTTATTTTTATTTTTCAAAACCATTGACCATGGTCAGACCAAGCCTGAACACAATCCACATTTTAGTATCTAGAAACAAACAATGGATGAATCAGGATGGCTTGACATAATTCAATATAATTGCAATATATCTGGGGTTTTTTTTGTATGATGAAAATATTACATTTCTGTATTATTTTCCCCCTGCATAAGAATTCCCTAAAGTTAACTTGTGGCAGCTGTTATTTTGAATGATTATATCCCTAAAACGAGGTGACACACAAACAGAAGGAAATGCAATGTTAGCTACAAAACATGCCCAACTGAAAAACCTACCTTTGTGGCCTACCTTGCCATTGCTGGATTGTGCAGCTGTAATTAAAGTCATACTGACCTGACGCAAATATTCAGATACTTTAAATGTATAACATTTACTAAATCTTTACAAAGGCTAATTGTTTATCCATGAAGAAAATCCTGCCATTTTACAATTCAATAAAGCAATACACATCTATCAGAATATGTAAAAGTTGATTAGACAGATCCTGTATATAAGTTAATCATGATCCTACATGCTTTTTTTTTGTTAAACATTTAACCTAAAATAATAAAATAGCTTTCTTGCTTTTGTTTTTTGTTCTTTATGATTTTATAAGTGCAGCAGTCCTAACTATGACCTCAGAAATGGTTGAGCAGAGAAAACCAGTTATGCCTTTGTCAAGCTTCTAACTAGCCCAGACCAACTCTTAGCTGAAATTAATATTTCAAAAGGTCATTCTGTCATATAAAAAATTATAATATGCATCTGTTCTTGTTGTACATATTCTTCAAATTCCAATAAGGATAATAATATCTCGTCAAGACGAGGTGCTATGTAGTTATTGAGGAAGAAAGTGAACCGACAGAAAGCTGACAATTTTCTATAATATTGTGCATATAAAGTATTAACAATTAAAATGTTTCTGGAAAATTGGAAATGCTCATTAAATGAACAGACAGAATGTAACCACTCGGCTATTTTTCCGAATTCCTGACATAAGTTGTACCTCTAATGACAACTAGTACCAAATTCCTGACATTAGGTGAACCACTAATGATAAACCATGCCTGATATATGTAAATGAGGATGAAATTAATATATTAATACGTAGTCACTGAGATCTGTAGTAAGAATATTCTGTTATTCAATCCACATTGGTATACTTTGTTAGTAAATACATTTTCTGTTTTCCTGTTAGTGAACAGACATAAAAACATACAGCAAGTTAAAGCCCACTGCGGTAGGATTTTCATGCCAAAAAACTATAATGAGTGAAAACTATCAAACAGTTGAAATAAAACAGGTTTAGTCAGCTTTCCAAAAACTTTAAGATAGATTCATTCAGAGTACAGAAATTCCGAATGAAAATTAAATGTAACTTTTAAATTTATACTAATGAATCAATATAATTAATCAAACTTGAAAAAAAAATTTTTCGATGGTAATATGTATTTGTTTTTTAAGGTGCTCTAATTAATAATTTGTCATCTTCATAAAAATGTTCAGAATATCCATATTGAAGGTTTCAGAGTATTAACTGGTATATTAAAGCTGAAAAGAGTTATTAAAAAGCTGATGGCACTACCAGTGGCAGTTCTTAAAAGCACAAACATCTCTAATATTTTAATCAAGTGTAAGATTATGGAGGAAGAAAACTGATTTATTGTACAACGTTGAAACACTGATACATATGAAAGCAAAGTTTTCAGAATCAATTGACCTGATTACTGAAACCACAGAAATAATGCTTTCAACCATGTACCTGTAGAAAGAAGCTTGAAATTGAAATTCAAAGGGAGATAATTTGCATACAAAAGTTAATACTCACCTGAAGAATATTCTACATGGGGTTGGCCGTTTGAGTTGGGCCCTGAGGATTGGTTGTTGGCATCTAAAATAAGGCAGAAAAAACAAACACATTCACCAACATGCAACTTCATGCAAATCCATAAGCACATTTACACCATTAATGCACCACAGACAATATTTCTACTTACAACAGGTAACATCCATATGGCTGGCCAATATCAGTAACTAATATCACCCATGCATTTGTCTATGTAGCTTTAAGTCTCAGTCAAGCAGCTGCTAGTACTGGTAAATGCATGTGGATTATGCAGGAACAACAGTTTATCAACAGCAACAAATGCCAGAAAAATCTTGGCACCCATTGATTTTCTATTACTTCTGAAAGGATGATTAGAAAACAATAAATATATCAATATATGATACTTTTACAATATTTGTCAATATTAATTCAATGTTCATTCCTTCTGGTGACTGTTTTTCAACAATCTAAAAGATTTGTTTAGTCTTGTATTTAGATTATCAAGTCACCAAAGCATTCTAATGGTGGTCTCTTAAGTGTAGCTTCAGTTAACATAAACAGTGTTGCAAGATCCGGTGTAGGAGGATCAAAATGGGGAAACCATGCATGATTAAAAATGCAAGGCTTTTGATGAAATCTTCAGACAAGGAAAAGGAACAATTCTTGAAACTGAGTAAATTTATCTGAATCCAGCAGATAAGTCCATTTTTTTCCCCCAACATACAATTTAGCTTGTCAAATCTAGTTTATACAATACAATAATGTTTTATTTTAGTGTCACACACCATATTTTACAATAAACCTTTAAATTATTGACAAACATGCTGATGTCAAGCCTGACTTGGCACAAGACTGGTAAAAATTCATGGTTATCAAAACAATACATGATATTGGCCTGTCTGGGGTGAATTAAGCAGATGCTCTGATAAAGAAGAAACAAATAAGAAGTAGCTAGGACAAAGTTTTGCACATGACCATTAAACATGAAAATTTCAGTAAGAATACAAGAATAGAAGAAAAGGGAACAGATACAAGTGTATAAATGCTGAAAAAGACAAGGCTTCAGCTGTAAACTTATTTAGTGATTTTTTCCATGAAAAGCTGAAAATAAACTCATTTTATCCATTGATGGGATTTCATTTCTTGTTTTTCATCACTGACTTTGAAAAGAAATAATCTTGAATCTGGTCTTTGGCAGCTGAGAAAAGCTCTTAAATGGTATTACATGTGAATTTGAAACTTAATAATTTTATATGCAATTATAACAGAGTTACCTCCCTTCATGTTTATGTTATCCTTCTCATATCTATTCCTGGAAGAATGAGAATCATGGTAATGTTATCATTGCTAATTAAGGGCAACAGGATCAGAAATTTACAACAGAATAGATCTAATATATATTCAACCATTGTCAGGTTGTTTTCCTAAAGTGATATGCTAAAGAAATTTGATAATGTTTTTCTGAACAAATTCATTGCGTCAGATTTCAATTAGCATTCCCATTAATTCACTTTGGAGTAAATGGAAAGTTCATTGGAAGGTCTAGACTGGTTTCTCGTTTTATTATCTGTGGTGTCCAAATAAGATAAATGTCAATAAATTGCCAATATGTCAACAAAATCCATGCTCCCTGGAGGATTTACCTTTTTTCTAATGTTTCCAGAGGCTGGCCTTGTGGTTTAATTCTTACATGTGAATTTTTAAATCCAATACATCATGTACATGTCTATGAGTGTACGAATTAGTTTATTTACAAATACAAGATTGTAATAATTTGTTTGCAATGTATATAATTCAGTAAATGAAAAATTTACCTTTGTCTAAAGATTTATAAAATATAAGATCGTTGTAACAGGCCTTTATGCCTTTCATTAATTCAGTCCAACTCGGAACTAATTTTTCAATCACAGGGGTAGAAATAAGAAAATTACTATAGGCGGCCCTTTGCGCCACCTCTTAAGAAGATTTACTGGCCCTTCTGTCATTGCAGTGGCCCTGGGTTTTCTGGCTTTTGAAATTGATAATTTTGATGTATATATATTTTTTTCAGACAAAATTGAGGAAATTTGATATGATTACATGGATAGGACAATCAGACTATGAAAAAGTAATTTTAAAATTATTTAGCTGAAATTATTGTCTAGATGTAAAATTCCAGTACTTATATATATTATTGGTTGGTACAACACATAATGTAAATAGTTTGAGATGTAAACTCTTTTATTTTGACAATCTATGTGTTAATAGGCTCTCAGTTAAAAACAAATCACAAAAATTGTGCCATGCATGTGATGCAGATTGAAGTCGGACTTCTTAGCGGGCATGGGCTTGAACCCAATGAGGAAACGTTCCATCATACTATCAGTAGATCGCCATTGTTGTGCTCCATGTCTTTATAGCGCTTGTAAGTTCTGACATACTCTATACACGAAACAAAACGTAGCAGTGATTAAGACTGACGGTACCAGCTAAGTTGATGAAAAGTGTTGTTAGAAACGAGTCGGCAATATGCCTTCACCGAACACGACGTCGATGTCGTTCAGATTGATCGATTTGACTCATTTGAGTATTACTAGCAGAATAGAGGACAAATTTTGAGCTACAAAAACTAACAAGCCCAACGGACCACCGCTTTGCATAACCTGTTGGCCCTTCATTACAATAGATGGCCTCGGGCAGATGGGCTTGTGGTTATTTCGACCCCTGCAATCACCTCACATTCACATTTTTTTTTTCAAGCAAACAACATACAAGTGTATTAAGTACAAACATTTCAGGGATCCTCAACAGAGTCACAATAAATCGGACATGGTAGTAGTGACCAATTCGTACCAGGCAGATCACATCACTATTCTTGATATACAGAGATATGATAAACAGACAATATGTAGTCCACAGTATTATCTCAGGTAAATAGTTTCATGACAATGCCTGTTTCCAATTACTTTGCATGTGGTATATGATATCTTCTAGAGCAGTTTACATGTGCCTATCCAAGCAAACAATAACAGGTATACCTACACGACAGGAAATATATTTACGGGTAGAGTCACTTTTCATCAAGATTTTAATTTTTTTAAATAAAACATATTCATGATTACTTCAGAATTTATGAGAAGAAAACTTGAACCACACAAGTATGTTTACACACAAAAATGGCAAACATAGTCAAACTGTTCATTTTCATGACTCTTAACACAAAATATATTATATGGTTAAGTGATAAATAGGATAGCCTGGTTGTAATTTAAAATGCTACGACCCCTTACTTTGGCCTAAATTAGGGACTCTGACCTATCCAGACCATATTCTGTGTTACCTGTTCTTAACAGTCAGGAAAGAAGGATTAAAGTGCACTAAAGAAATAATGAATTTCAGAAGCTTCAAAATTTTCATGGAAAAAAAAAATTAATAAGTATTTTAATGAAATCTTACCACATTTGGACATGCCCGTACGATAATAAACAAAAATTATAAAATAGACATTTTAAAACAAATGTATTATTGTCACACAAACAGCACCAATACCTTTTTACCCTTTAATCCCTGATGATGCATTAATGCACAACTGGGCCCACTTATCAAAAACTCATCAAAAATGTAGGCAGATGTTTATGAAACATTATAACCGTTTTCACAAATGTTCCTCTTCAATTTAATACCAAAATACCCATCATGCAATTTAAATCATTGACAAAAGTGTTTTAAATGTCATACTTATCTTAGTACAATCTATAATAGGTGATTCATGTACAGCTGACAATTATCAGCTAAAACCACACCATACCTGTTCATGTCAGTCATCAGCTTAAACCACACCATACTTGTTCATGTCAGTCATCAGCTAAAACCACACCATACCTGTTCATGTCAGTCATTAGCTAAAACCACACCATACTTGTACATGTCAGTCATCAGCTTAAACCACACCATACTTGTACATGTCAGTCATCAGCTTAAACCACACCATACTTGTACATGTCAGTCATCAGCTTAAACCACACCATACTTGTACATGTCAGTCATCAGCTTAAACCACACCATACATGTACATGTCAGTCATCAGCTTAAACCACACCATACATGTACATGTCAGTCATCAGCTTAAACCACACCATACATGTACATGTCAGTCATCAGCTTAAACCACAGCATACATATACATGTCAGTCATCAGCTTAAACCACACTGTTTCATGTCTTAACAAACCTCAATCCTCCTGCCATAGCTAATAAGCCCATCCACTGTCCATCATGTTGTAATTAGCCATTATCCAAGTCAGAGTTAATGCTTGGTACCCTTTGGTTTATTGAAGGATGAATAAGGCAGTGCAAATTGTTCATTATGCTATAATTAGCATTGAAAAATGAACATCTATTCTTTAATATTTACATATAACATGGAACAAACTATAATGAGTATTTTCATTGGGTCATGTGACCATCCTGTAATAAGTCTGCTGCAGACAAGTATTGATTATATACCTTGTCTAAAGGTAACAACAGCAAGCATTCCTGACAGGTAAAACAAACTATTATACTGTACATATCTTTAACTAAGATTAGAAAACCCTCTGACTTAAGTTAGAAGAATGGACATAAGGGCAATATACCATAGTTCTGTAACAGGGGCTGAAGTAGTGTGAGCATAGGATTAGGTCTATTTATGGATTCACTTTCTGTTCTGTTTAGGTTATCAGAGAACCAGTTATGGAAATTTTCAATGTTCAGCTTAAAAACTTAAATACCTGGTATGGGCACAAAATGATGACAAATGTCCTTTTTGCTTTACTGTTTTTTCTCACTTCAACATGCAGAAAACAAACTTTATATGATTATGGACAATAATTTTTCGGCCATTTATGTAGGTGTCTCCTAAGACACTTGAATATACAAACAATGATCTAGCAGATGGAAATAAAACATAACAAGAGGCCTAGCAATGATGACGGTCACCTGAGATAAGCAATATTGAATATAAAGGTTAAAGGGTATTATCAAGTGTCATAAAACAGAAATTATGGCAGTGAATATAGTAAGCCAGTGTCAATACATGCATACCATCAAAACTGTCATCCTATACTAATAATTCTTACAAAGTTATTTCCAGTAGGAAATAACCAACGGTATGTTCAGAAATGCGATTTTTCTATGAAAATTACAGTAAACCTGCAAAAATCTTCCTCCCCAGGACAAAATGTGAGACTCATTTTGGTTATTAAAGCACCTGAAGATGCTTCTATTCATACAGAGCATTTGATGCTACTATACATGTGTGTTAAGAAAAGTTTTGAAATTGAAGTCAATATGACCCCTTTCGGCCCCACCCATCAACCCCTTTGGGGTCAGCCAGGATCAATATGGGCATACCACCAAGTCATCATCCTTCACTCATAATTCTAACAAAGTTTAAAATATTTCCAAAGGAGTTTAAACAAATTATACCCAAAAATCTAGTTTTCCTAAATAAAGTATACTAAAATTTATCCTCTCCCCATGGGGAAATGTGAGACCCTGGAGTCATGAAATTCTCAATTTTGATAAAGCACTTTAAGATAGATGCATTCATCCATGAAGAACAACTGATTCTACCATATCTGGATGTTGAAAAGAGGTTTTTTGAAATTTGAGTCAATTTGACCCCTTTTAGTCCTGCCCCTCAGGCCCCTGTGGGGTTGAGACGGTAAAATTCACAAGTTGGGTTCATCTTAGGCCAGGGAAGGTTTCACTGAAATCAGATTGGAGTTTTTGAGAAGAACACACAACACCAGATGAAGGTAATTGCAATGGGCCACCAAGAGACTTTGTCTCAGGTAACCTAAAAACCTGAATCAAATATATTTTGTCACTGTTAAAAACCTACTACATGTTTACATACAAACTAATTTTTTGTTTCAAGAAGGTATGAGGGTAAACATAAAAAAAAAAACTGAAACTGGAATTTAAGTGAATAGTTCCACAGTTAAAATCCTAGCTCAAATAAAATGAATTATACTTTGTTGAAAAAAATTTGTGTAGTTATATTGATGTAAATAATATAAATCGGTTGAAGTTTATTTTACTTCAGTTATCCTCTTTTTTTTCATTTTGTCACTCTGTGATTCCTGTTGTACAATATCCATGCACAGTTGTGTTTATTGATTACCAGGTGAATTATTATTCGAAGGAAAATGACACGGAAAATTTCACAATATAATTCAATCATTATGGGTCTATATCGTGTGGCTAGATTTGTAGGACATTTTAAGTGATAGAAAATGAACATATATTTACTTGATATCCTGGTGATATATCCACATCCTGATACATAAGTTTATACCTACACATGTCTTATATTAGGTCATATGAATGATTAAGTACATCAGGAAATGACTTCGCATCAAATATGTACGAATCAATTTTGTTTTATCATGACTATAAAATGATAAACCAAACAAAAGTGTTACAAACTCAAACTTATATTGGAAGTTTTTGTATCGTATTTAATAAGTACAGGGATCCAATATACAAAATCTGACTCAAGGAATAAGACAGGCTTAATGCAGGAAAATGTCATCTGATTGTAAATCTTCTACACATAATATTTGTGGGCTTATTACCTGTCACAGGCTTATTGCCAAATTGATCACATAATTAACTTTTTAATTTCCTGGATATTGAACATGATGATGAACATTTCTAAGCAACACTGATTATCAAAAACATATCTTGCACTAGATGGGCATGTATTTAGTACAAATTTACAAGTATACAACTGACTGCTTCTTGATGACATTTAAATGCTTGAATGTCACCTCTCCCTGCTGTGTCATTTACTTTCCTTATTCAACATTCTTTCATTTGCCATAAGCAAATAGAGATGGTAAACAGAACACCTACTAGTTCAACCTCTTTTCAATATGGTGAGTTAAAGGTGTGAGCTGGCCTTTCACCTAGGTATCAGTGAAAAATTATCATCTGACCTGTAAGGGCCTACCTTTATACTTATAATCCTATACTTTTACAGCTTTTATGCTTGTCTACACTTATCTGTCTCTCTCTTTTTTTTAAGAAGCACCATCACAACATTTTCATGTTCAGTTTATTATATATACTTAACTCTTAAAAATAAAATTAGTAAATATTTCAAATCAAAGAACTCCATTCTATTATGTAGAATGCCAAACTATGAGCTAGCCCAAACAGGATAGAACAAGGCTTAACCATATATGTGACTAAATAAATACAGATTATATCTAAGTGCTATATGTTTCACAATATCTTAAGTACAGGGTTTTAATCTCCAGCCAGGACCTACATCATATAACAAATCTTACCATAAATACCTGACTATTAGACAGGTAAGAAATTGATTTACATGTAGTTGTGATATACAACATAGGACCCACTTATACATAAAATGTAGCAAACCCCCTACCTGTC